CAAATCTAAATTATTAAACAATTGATGTTTCAAAATATAGACATTTCTCCTCCATATCTTGGTTACCTACTACATATAATTTTTTTACTTTACCCTTTATAGTAATTAAGTTAGATATTTTTGTAAACATATCTCTCACTCATCGTTGAATGCATTAGTATTTGAAATTAAAAGTGAAAAGATAAAATAATATGTTTTTATAAAAATAAAAACTTTAATGGTATATAATTTTTTAAAAAAAATTATTTATATTTTGAACCGAGCTTATGTTGGTGTGGGGAGTAATAATTGATATTGAAATAAAAAAAAATTAAAAGAATTGAAGAAGTTCATGGCACCACGGTTTGCTCCACCTTCTCAGGCTCACTTGAGTGCCTTGAGGCCCACAATTAAGTTCACGCGCATACGGTATATACTGAAAGCTACACCCACAATTCTAATGTTTTAGCATTATATTTTTGTACGAATTTTTTTAACCATTTTCCTAAAGCCAAATTTTTTATTTTTTTATTTGAAGAAATAACGTGCATCTATCAAAGAAAAAATAGCAAAAAGATTAAAGGATCTGGGAAGCATTTGGTCAAAAAAAAAAAAAGGATCTGGGAAGCAAAGAAGGCCGTTAATTAATTAATGTAATAGTGAGGATAATTGAGCAAATAGTATTTTGATCGCTCTAAGATGTAGAGAGACGCCACATGAAATATATTGGTGAATGAATTATATAAAAAGTTAATTATTTATTAACAGAGTATAATGGCATGATGCGACACAAGTAGCTAACATGATCACTTAATGGAATGATGAAACTTATTATTTTTTAAATTTTTTAATCATTGATAAGACTTCTTGTCATTATTTTTCAATTATCTTGTATCCGGCAGTACTAGATCATAATTGAATATTGTCGATCTAGAGGTGGGGTAGGTTTTGGAACATGATTTCTAAATTAAAGGAAAATTAATTATTAGTCCTCATCCTCAAATATTATTATTTAAAGACCGTGAGCTCTTATAATGAATAATTAGAAGATTTAAAATGGAAAAATTGGAACTTCTATTATCATTTGACGTGAATAAATGGTAAAATGTCTTTTAAGTAGAAAGTACAATAAAAGAAGAGAATCGATCCCAAACCAAAAAAAAAGAGAAGAAGAAGAGAATAAATATATAAACATTATCATTGTTTATATAGTTTCCTTACTTGAAAATATTTAAATTTAAAAATTAGTTTGAATTCAAACTTGTAATTCAAATGGTCTTTTTCTTGCCTTAATATAACTGCCAAAAGGAATTCAACCATTAGTTGCTGGAAGTTGAAAATTATGTGATTTTTTAAATTTCTTTCATTCTTTAAAACAACTTATAGCTCATTTATCGTCATGCATGATGACCATGATTTAAATGGAGCACTCAACAAACACCAAGTCTAATAACAAGAGCTAATCATTTATAATGTGATAAATTAAAATTTAAATTTTTATTGTAAAATATGCTTACATTTAATATTCAATCATAATTCAAACATGATTGACTCAAATTAAAAATATTTGTGAGCAATCCAAAAAAAAGAATGGCACTCATCAAATCTACAACAAACCTTGGAGATAAAATAGTATTTTAAAAGTATTTATTAATCACCTATAAAGCGTGATTAAATTAAACTCATACTCGTATGAGTCACATTCTTATTGTATGGACATATTGATGGAAAGAAGGGAATAAAGCGTACGAAACATAACCTTTGGGCCTCGCGGGAAACAAAACAAAAAAAAAATCAATGCCAATAAAAAATTTGGGTCTCATAAAAGTAGTTTGTTCCCAATAATATAATAAATAAATGTTTGAATTTTTACAGTAAGAAGAGGTGCTCATATTTAATATTTAATTATATATAAAATATAATTATTTCTAACAAGAGAATACTTACATGTAAACCAAAAAAAATAAAAAAGACAAATACTATTAAATTATTATTACAATATAAAATTGTGTAATATTTTTTCTATTTTTTCATTTTTCTTGTTAACTTTTTTAAAAGTTAATGAGATTTAATTTTTTTTATTTTAATAAAAAACTTTAAAAGTGACTTTTTAAATAGAATGATAAAACTTAAAAAAATGATTTTATAATATTTGAGATAAAGTTTCTTTTATATAATTATTTTGATCAAAACCATATGAATTACAGACACGTAGATAGGGTTGAAAAGTAATTTTATTATCAACAGTAACCAAGATTTTATGAAAATTCATGGTCAGGTATCATGATGATAGTATTTGCAAAGAGAAAATGACAATCAAGATCCCATTAACTTATTAATTATAATTACATATTGTTAAAATCTCAATAATAAATTATAGATTTTAATTATAATTAAAAAAATGTGAATAACCAATTGAAAAGTCAACAAAATGTATTTTGAATTATTTGTAATATTAGTTAAAAATTTATTAAAATTAGTTATGAATTGCAAGTTAATCACTTAAAATTCTTTGCTATCAATATATAAATAAATTATTTAAAAAATATACTTAAAATTATTTGTATTGTCAATTGACAATGTAAGAGAGTTATTTGTGAATCGCAAACCCATCAATTGTGATTTTTTGTTGTCAACATTTAGGCAAATGGTTTAGCAAATTGAGAAAAGATGTTTGAAAAATTTTATAGCACTAGTTGAAAATTTATAAAAATCAGTGGTGAATTTCAAGCCAATTAACAAAAGATATTTTATTGTAAGTAAAGATTATGGTCTGTCGTTAAAATTTTGATAATTCAAAATCTATAATTATAATTCATGTTCTTATGAGATTTCTAATTGTGGTTTTCCATTTGAAAATCTGTTACTTTTGCTCCCTAGTTTAAATGCATTTAATATTCTTTGGTTTGCTTGACCAATTTTTTAACCTTGGCATTGGGTCTTGTCACTCACTAACACTTGTTTTGTATGTTCTAATTAATCTAATTCAAAATTGCTACTTCTTTCCATTGTTAAGACTTTCTCTACAATACTCACGTCACGCCTATCTTTATTATAAGATCTTTCAGAAATTTTTACATAAATTTAAAAAAAAATGACATATGGATTTACTTGTCCAATACATTCAAGTTAGTATTCCATATCACATATTCAGCTTCAATCTGTGAAAGAGATGATACAGCCTTGACTTAAGCTGTAGAGGTTAAAAAAATAATCATTTAATATTTTGGACGCAATTCTTTATAAATTAGGCCAATGTTATTTTCTAAAAAAATATCTTATATAAGACACACCCACAGGAAAGATTTTTTTTTTTTTGGGTGCCGGATAATATCATTGAAATATCCTTAAAAAGATTTAATATCCGATATGATCTTAACAAATAAAATTCAAGTCTCAACAAATATCTAATCAGTTCAAATTTTTATCTGATATTAAATTTTTTCAAAAAAATTTATGAAAAAATTAATTTTTTAATCCTTCAACTTTTAACTTACTTGTAACTCAATCCTTCAACTATGATTCGCTACGACTCAATCCCTCAACAATAACTCACTGCGACTCAGTTCCTCAACTTTTGATTTACCTATAACTTGGTCCTTATTTTTTATTTTTTTAAAATTTTTTTATCAAATAAGAGGGATAAAAAATGCTCATATATTATTTTAAAATACCCTCTTCTTATTCATTAATGTGAGATATAAGCTAACATAAAAAAAATTAACAAAGGTTAAGAGATTAATTTGTAAATGATTCAAAAATTGAGGGACTAAGTCATAAGCGAGTTATAATTGAGGGACTGAGTCACAGCGAGTTATAGTTGAGGGATTGAGTCACAGCGAGTCATAGTTGAAGGACTAAATTATAAGTGACTTAAAAATTGAAGGTTTAAAAGATTAATTTTTTTAAAATTTATTCATAATGTCATGTGGTTTTTTTTTTTTTTAGAACAGGACAAGTGGGAGTACTTGATAAAGAAAAAGCAGCTCTGGCGTTGACTTGGTCTTGGCGTCCCAACTTAGGCTGCCTCCACGTTTTCCTATCCCAATCAATTTGGGCGGCTTCTAAATCACACTGCGGGATAGACAAATTATTTTTGGCAATTTTTTCTTCTTTTTACCAACAAACTTTTTGTGGCTTTACTTCCCCATGTTTTCAAATATAAGTAATATTTTTATATGATTTTTTGTTTTTCTATAAACAAAATAATAATTTTTAAAAAGTATTTATGAGGTTTTTGAATTTCCTTTTCATTAAATAATAGTATCATTTAAGTAAGGAAGAAAAAGGATTAATCATAAGAGCTTTTTAGTCAAAACTTTTCAATTTCATATATAACTATCATGGTTCACCAATTTTTTTTAAATTGTGTGGGTTGATTAAAATTTACTTGTATTTGAAAATAGAGGATTGCTTCCTTCATTTTTTATTATAAGAAAAAAATGTTATATGCCTCTTTTTTATAAGCATTTATCATATTTTCTTAAATTACTTCTTATAAAGTTAATATCTATTTTTACAAGAAAAATTTATTTTATTAATTACTTGTTACAGGACTAATTTAATTCAATTTTTTTAATTTCAAACATAACTATTATACTTAACTAATTTTGTTATATTGTGTAGGTTGATTATTTTTCTATTATATTTGAAAGCCGAGGGTGGATGCATCAGTGAATATTTGAAATTGAGGGAGTAAGAATGGATGAGGTAATTTATGATTTTTTTTTTTTGCCAACTTTTTTTCTTTTTATGGCCAACAATTTAGGATTAATTACTGGTTATTATTAATTTGAGTTTAAATTTGTGGGTTTATAGCGTAAGAATTAAGGTATATATACTGGTTTGTTCAGAAGTTTACAATTTTTCATTCTTTATTGGAAAGGCTTCCAGAGAGTAAACGATGATTAGTTTTTAACTTCGCAAGTTTACCGTGTAGGGACAACGCCGCGTATCAGCAACACCTCAAGTGGAACTACGTCAACATGCACTCTTCTTCTTTTTCTTCTTCTATCCTCATGTTCGTTATATATTGAAATCCCGTCTCCCTCAACTCTCAGACTCCCTCTAACCATTCTGCACACTCCCAAGCTTCCCTTCCGTTGACCCCTTCCAGGTAATTTCATCTTCTGCGCTTAGTTTCTTGGTGATGCCTTGAACAGGTTTGTTGATTTGCTTGGGAGAGAAATGCTATGATTTGTTTTTCCCACTTTTATTGTTAACCTCACTGTGCAGTGAAGGTATATGTGAGGAAACATTGTGCAAAATCTTTCCACATCTTGCCGGAGGATTCTATGATGGTTTCATTAATTGTGTTTCCATCACTGAATTTAAAGTGGGGCGTGAGGGTATTCAAAATGCCCAAAAAAAAAAAGGGCAGAAGAAAGTTAAATAACATCTGTTTCTGTTATTTGTTTCTATTGTTTTTTATCTAGTCTTATCCACCACTTGTCGAGTCTTATTTACAATCCTGCACAACAAGTTTTGCTAGTAGCTTTGCTTTTGGTGAAACTGCAAGTGTTGTGAAGGAGGACACGAATAATTACAAACAGAATGCGGCATGAGTGTGGAAAATCTCAACTTCTCTTTGAGAACTTTTAAACCTGCTTCTTGGATTTTTTTTTTTTAATCATTTTTGTAATTTTAATGTGCAGTTCAGAGACATGTCGGTCTCAGCAAATTCAACTCAGCCGTCAACGGAGGGAAGGTTTGGGGAGAATGGTTTTGAGTGTGCGGAAATTCTCCCTGCAATCAATGATGCTCATGGAGGAGTCATTGTAGAGATGAAGAAGCCCATGAATCCTGACACTTTTGTCACTTTGCTCAGATCTTCACTTCTGCAATGGAAGCACCATGTATTTTTTATGATCCGAGATTCTCAGCATAAGCATCTATACTGTCCTGTCCTTGAAATATTTCTTGCATGCCCTCTGAATATACAATGAATTGTGAAGCATGCATGTGGGTCCCATCCACAGTATGTGCAATGTAATCTAAATCCTCTGCAGTCACAAATTGTACGAGTGAGTGTCTCTCTGAATGCATGACTTCATGGCTATGAAAGATCTGATTTGATAAACTTTGGAGGCATGTAAAAAACTTTTTCAAAAGGGCTAGTTAAGTGCATACGGTAGATCCTAGTAATGGAACGAGGACAAAATATATCTACATGAAAGACTGTATATATATATATATCTCACGTGCATTATATTTATAATTCCTCATGCTTGATCATTTCTATCTTCAAAGGGATTCTTATTTTATTTTCTTTTCTAAATTTAAAGAACAAGACAAAGAAAATTATGCTATGCTGTTGTTCATCACTTCATCTCCTTGATGTCATCATTTATAGTACGTGCATATCAAGGATCTTTCTGGAATGCGCTCTACATTCTAAGACAATGGGCCATCAAGTATTAGCTCCTACATTTTTCGGTATCAAGTAAAGGGTGTTTTTGGATCTTGCTTGAAATGAAATCCCCTTCCCTAGGTGATATCTGGACAAACAGGGGCCTTTTGGATAGTTCATATCACTATATTCATTCCTGAAATAGATAGCTCAGCCTTGCAATGAATATGAGAAATCTGAAACCTAGTCAGCATTTTAACTGATAATAGTTCATACTGCAGGGGAAAGAGGGTGTCTGGATCAAATTACCTATTGAGCTTGTTAATCTGGTTGAAACTGCAGTCAAGGTAATTATCATGTTTCCTTCACAGTTTTGCCAACCTTGGACAAGAAAAATAGGCATCTAACTGTCTTATACTGAAAATCGAACAGGTTACATTGATTTTCTCATGCCTCGTATTGTATCTAAACTAAGTCGAATTTTGTATCATATACGATGATTTTCTCACTCTGATTTGTTTTCTCTTATTGAACTGCCCCATTTTTCAAAGTTAATAAGGTTTCATGCTACTGCTGTGTGATAATTAAGAGCTTTAATCATGAACTCTATCACGTTGATGGTGTAGGCTTTTGTTTACAGTCCCATTATGGTTTCTTTAGCCCAAAAAAAAAAAAAAACACTCCCAGTTTTATAAATCAAATATAAGGAATTTGGGCCTGTGATTGTCATGTCTTGAAATTAATTATTCTGTGTTTGGTTGATCAAAGGAGGGTTTCTGGTTTCATCATGCCGAGCCAAGCTATCTCATGCTCGTTTACTGGATTCCTAAAACTGGCAACACTATCCCTCCTAATGCTTCCCATCGTGTCAGTGTTGGTGCTATTGTCTTGAATGACAATAAAGAGGTGATTTCTACGCCATAACAGACAACTTCATTTAATAGGGTTCAAAACAAGCTCTTGAAAAGTTAAAGGCTTACTCTCAAGCTCCTTTAAAATAGAAGCTTGCAGAGCATTTCTTAGGTTAGAAAGACGTAGAATGAAAAGAGGAAGTTTATGAAAGAGAGAGAGTAGGTTCCATAGTCTCACTTCTTGTGTTATTTTTCTCTCACTTCCAAGGCACTTTAGCTTAAAAGCATCAAAATTACCTTATTTAGTGCTTGTTTGAGATTCATTTAGTTGGGTTAAACTACGGTTTGTAGGCTTGAAAGCTAGGTAAAAAAATATGTTTGGGAGAGAGTAACTGACAAATGAGAGCATTTAATGCATTTTAAATTTATTAAATAAACTATTTCTCCTTTCATATTTCCTTTTGAAATTTGAAATTTTTATTATTTATAAATTTAACATTTTATTATTTGTAATTTATATACATATTATAGTCTTTAAATAGATCTAATTAAATTTTTTAGTATTCAAAAATATTTTCTACATTAATACATTAACTCTTTTATTTTTATAATTATAATTATAAATTTAATATTTTCTCAAATTTATCAAATTGCATACTGATATATATGTAAGTTTGAGAGACATGCAAGTCATGCCTTTTTTAGGGTTTTTTTATTTTATTTTACCAGCTTATGTCCTTTTTGGTTATCATATATTTAAACTTACTTTTTAATTATATCACCCAAATAAGTTTGGATTTGTCAAATTGACTTTTTACATAAGAGTATTCAAACATAAATTACATTATAATAATTGAATTTTAACCCAACTTTAGTTTGCAAATGTAGTTTATGCAAAATGTAATTCTTCTGCCAACATAAATCCAAACAAGCTCTTAATCTTTCTTTGATACATGTGGCACTACGATTTAATTTTATGACTTCAAGGGAACTATCTAAACTTTCACCATTATATTATAGTTGGTTCATTCTCATATTTCTATAACATATCAAGCACCTGCAACGTGAGTCCTTTATATAATTTTGGTCTCTCTGACCTCCGCATTCGTTGTTAAACTGGTATCCATTGACCAAGTACAAGTGTATATTACAATATAGTCTCACTGTCCAAAATGAATAGATTCCACATTCTCAAATAATATTCTTGTAGTTACTATTCATTCAGTTATCTTCAAGCTTTAACGTCTTTTTGAGTCACCTTCTTCAACTACTATTGCAAGGGAGACCTTGGAGTTTAAAAGTAAATCTGTACATCTTCTTGCAGCAAGTCAAAATGAAAGGTCACGCTTACTGTTTTCTTTTGTTTGGTCTTTGGACCTGTAGGTGCTGGTAGTCCAGGAAAAGAGAGGTAGATTCCATGGACTAGGGTTGTGGAAAATACCTACTGGTGTAGTGGATGCTGTATGGATATTTCCCCTAAGAATGTCTTATAATTCTCAAAACTAAACTCCTATTCAGTTAGAATCATGACACTGGGGTTTGGTGTCTGCAGGGTGAGGACATTTTCAATGCAGCAATCAGAGAAGTAAAAGAAGAGACAGGAGTAGGTTCTTTAATTGATCTGATATTTTTCAAAGTTCTATAATGCCTCGATCATATTATCAGTATATCTTTTCTTCTTCAGATTGATACAGAATTTGTGGAAGTACTAGCATTCAGGTAAGGATTTTCTAACTTGTAGGGCAAATGAAATGTAGAAATTATTTCAGATAACCTGCGTTCTAGTCAGGCTAATTTTTTCATCAATGATTTCTTTATCTACATTTCAAAGATGTCATGTGATTTAATAAGAAAAAGCATTTTAAAAAAGGAGTCATGTTTATGTCTTTGTTGTGTCCAACACTCTTATTAGAAATGACATGAGGCATTTCATTTGTCGTCTGTGACATTTCATATAGTTACATATTATGCATATATCCTACGCATTTTGTGAGCTGAAACTCTAGTTTTCTTCGCTCTGATTAGAAGGCAAAAAACAGAAACTATAACCTGACATTATGAGAAAGTGGGATGTTAGTAACACATTTTAAAGTTTTTGAAAGTCTAACATCCTGTATCCTAATCTTCTTCTCTGTTTCCTACTTTTTTGTTCTCAAACTGTTTGTGATGCTTCTGATATTCAGACAAGAACACAAGACCTTCTTTGGGAAATCAGATCTATTTTTTTTGTGCGTGCTGCGTCCTCTTTCTTTTGACATCAAAAAACAAGACCTAGAAATTGAGGCAGCTCAGGTAACCTTTTCTTCCCCCCTGACCTTCTATTTTTGTCGATGGTGTCACATGTTTAGAAGGCTTCAAATGGAACCATGCGTTCCAATAACAATGGTATTTTTCTAGAATCATCTGATGCTAAGTTTTCTACTTCAAAATCTTGATTTTTCTAGAATCTTGTCCCAATCCCCTCCGTTTCTACGTTGGTGTCATCTTGCTTTCTTTAAAAATTACAGATTTTTCAAAACTACCCTTCTACCCAAACTTAATTATATCGCCTTATTTCTCTTTTTCCACAATAAATGAGGCTTTTTTTGGAAAAAAAGATTCTTCATTACTTTACACAGGGTCTTGTATTAAGGAACAAATAAAATTTCTGACCTTATGTTAAGAAAAGAAGTAAGTAATAAAGAGGATAGGAGGGAATGTAGGCCCCGCTAAAGTCCACACAGGTGCACTATATTTTTCTCTTCTACTTATTTCCTTCCGTACGAGAGAAATGTTGTCATATAGGAATTATTATTGATACAATTTCTCTGTGTAAGAATCAATACTTCTATGCAAAAATTATTAGTAAAACAAGTCTACGAAGAAAATAATTAGATGTAAGTTTACAGCCATGACTGAAGATGAAAAAAATAGACATAAGAGTATATCAAACAATCCCTTCACTAGGATTTACAATTCACATGCTTTTTTTTAACATCTATCTGTAATTGTAATTAGATCTCCTTGAGATTTTTCTATATTAGATACGTTTTGACATTCTCATTATTAGCTTAAAGATTCACATGGTCATATATTTGAATTAATTTTACTTCGCTATTCATCATTTAGGCTCCATGTTTTTTTTTCCCTACTTTGAGAAACCTGAGAAGTTGAAGCATTAAATTCTTGACCTACATTCTATTCTCTTTTACCAAACTTGAAGTGGATGCCATTCGAGGAATTTGCTGCACAGCCTTTTAATCAAAAGCATGAGCCCTTCCAATACATAAACGAACTATGCTCCTCAGCGGTACGAAGCAGCTATGCTGGATTCTCTCCAAGGCCTATTTCTTCATATTTCAAGGAGCAGTTGAGTTTTCTATATTTTAATAGTAATGATCTTCACAAATCCTCTTAAGTCTTCTTCCCTAGTCAGTTTATAGATAAAAAGTTGATAGTTATATGCATTTCTTTCTTTCTTTCACGGACAAGTAAGTTCTCTTTTCCTTTGGAAGAGACGTTTAATTGACATATCAATTTGTTATTTTCTTTTTTCCTGCTCTTTCGCATGCTTAGTGAATGAGTTACTCGCTACATCCAAAAGGTCATCATTCTTTAGAAAATGGAAATATATTTAAAGTGAAAGTAAAAATGAGAGTTATGATTTCAACCCAAAAAACAAAAAACAAAAGAAAGTTACGAAATTATAAATGCGTTATTTGTAGTGTCTTATCAAGCAGTTGGAGGGGAAAAAAAGTATAGAACTCTCAACATTGAAAAATTACTTGGCGCTCATGTCCTCAATCTATTTATCCTCTGAATATAAAAGGCTCAAATTACTCAAATACACTTGAACAGATATTAACAAAATTCGGTGATTGGTAAAAAAAAAACAAAAACAAAAACAAAATTCGGTGAACCCCCATAAATTAGAGTCTAAAAAGTAAATTACATTATTCACAACTCGTGAATTGCTCAGCTTGCTATACGTTGCATATTTTATATTTGTTTAAAACATATTTTATGATATTTGATACATATATGGCAAAAATGTCTCTAATTCACAATACTTTACGGTCCGCAGCTGAAAAGTGTACGTTCAAGAACGTCTCCCGTTGAAAGTCACTTAGCCCTCTGTCCGATTTATTTTCTCCTGACTTCACGTCTTGTATTTATCCTATTTGGTGTGAGACGTCTCAAAAAGACATAGATACAGCATTTAATAATTAAAGTTACTTTAATTGCAGTTTGATACATGTATAACACTATTGAATTGTCTGTAACTCAAAAGCTTCATCACACACGCTGCTTGTTGAAATTTGTGAGCTACTTTGTACTGTGGTGACAGATGTTGTGCCAAGCGGCACCGTATCAGCAACCCCAATGTAAATCTGTCCTGACTTAGTATTCTGGAACACTCTGCTTTCCATAAAGCTCTTTGATAAATCAACTTTCCCTTTACTTTTTCCTTCATCCCCATCATCCCCATCCTTCCAATCCTTCTTTTTCTCGCCTTTTCCTTTCTTCCTCCTCCTTTCAAAAGTTCTGCTTTTTTCAGCTTTGAAAGAAGATCCCCACATAACAGAAAAATGTCTCCTGCAAAGTATCTTCTGCTTGTAGCACCGGTAGTAGCAGTAGTAGTACTTTTCTCAGTGTGTGAAGTTTCTGGGGATGATGTGATTCCACCCAAGTGTGACCCTCCATGTCAGGTGCTTCCTCCACCAACTCCACCACTTTCTGGCGACCCCTCTTATGGAGCTCCGCCGCCTCCATACGGCTACTCCATTTATGACGCGCCGCCGCCGCCGCACAAAGGGTCAGGGCAGAAAAAATGCCCTCCCGCTGCTCCACAGGTTCAGTGCTGCCCCCCACCATATCCTTATTACACTCACGCCCCTCCATTTCCTTATTACACTTATGCACCTCCTTACACTTATGTGCCTTATGGTGAAGGAGGAAGTCTTCTTGTGCCTATTCTAGCATCTCTTATGATGATCTTTTCTTCCTTCATCTTTCTCTTCTGAATTTGGCTGCTGCTTGTTTTTTAATTTTCTTTTTTTTTAATTCACCGTCCAGCGTGAGAATCAAAGTTCATTTTCAAAATGGGTGATCTATGTGTATGATATTGTAATAAAATACCAATAGAAGGCTGCACATAGTAATCTTAAACGCTGGTGCTGTAATTAATATGTTTATGTATGTGATGTTGTAATAATTACGTTCATGGTAGAATTCTGTCATCTTCTGCATCCTACTTGGTATTCTTCTATGAATAAAATTCTATTTGGTTTCTGATCAAGGTCATTACATGAATGTAGAGTTTATGATTTTAACCTGTCATCCTTTAAGATGTATGGATTTCCTTGTTGACTTGTGTACATGGTTAGGTTATTTTCTTACAAAGTTTAACTGTTTCTGATGAGCACTCTTACTTTGGTCTTATTCAACTTCATTCCAGATCTGTTCTCATGACTTCCTAGGAATGATGGGGTATTTCTATATGCTAACTGATTGGGGAGTAAATTTCTTTAAATAATTTGTCTTTAACTTACAATTTTTCTATCTCAGCATAATATAATCACAGAGAGAGAGTCAGAGAGATTTGGATGGTTATGAGGGAAGGTGCTTGAGATATCAGAGGGGGAGAGGGTCTCCGTCTCTTCACTTTTTCCGTGTTTTTTTTTTTTCTCCATTTCTCAATCATCACCGTTCATTGATGATTGAAAATTGGGGAGAAAAGAAAGGAAAAGAAGTGGAGAGACCCACTTAGGATAGAAATGGAAGTGTAGATACGTACAATCGTTGGGTTGTGAAATGTGAGCAAGGGACAGAGCATAGTGAAGTGAAACTGAAAACATGTATCGCTAGGTGGCTGAATTGAGTACTATAAAACAAAAGATAGTTGTCCTCGACTTTGCTACCGAATGACTGCATTTAATGCAGAACATGACCTCTGCTTTCCCAAGAAATAACACCTAACTCCCTTAGAATTTAACTGTAATAAAATAAAAACAAATTCATGGGATTTAATTCGCCTGGTCCAAAATGTAAGTAACTTTTTTTAACAGGAGAATGGTATTGAAGTCCCAAACTAATGAATTTCAAACAGTTAGATTTTTGACAAAATTTTAAAGAAAATTAATTATAAATATTGTTTTAAATAGTTATAAATTCAGAAATTTTAACTGTAAATAAGAAATTTATATTTTAAATATAACTCTCAATTTACAGTTGAGATTTTTATTTATAATTTCCTGTATTAATATTTAAAACTTATTTTTTAGAAAATTTTGTTAAGACTTGATTGTTATAAATTTTAAATTTTGGGACTTTATTGTCATTTTTTAATTATACATAACAATGAAGTTTAATTATATTTTTATTTTTGTCGAAATGTATTATAGTTTTTATTTTATCCTTAGCTTCAATTATCAATGATAAATTAAATTAAAAAAAGAATAAGAATGGTGATGGAAAACACAAGAAAACATATTAATAAATGGAAAAATTATACATAGTATTTGTGGAGCAGATTTATTTTAAAATAAATCTTATAAAATTTAAAAATTATAATTAAATCTCTTAAAATTTGAGTTTAATTTAAAATTAAATTGTAAAGATAATAATATTCATATTAAAAAATATTACATTAATTAAATAATTAATTTATAATTATAATTTTTTACAACTATAATTTTACTCATCTAATAATTAAATAATCATGTATTATTAATGAAGTTTAACATTAATTATTTACAATTGTTTTATTAACAATTTATAATTATAATTTTAATTTTTTTATAACTATAATTTTACATATTTAATAATTAAATTAATCAATTTAATTTAATTATTGATTGATTAATTTAATTATTAAATATATGAAATTATAATTGTAAAAAATTAAAATTATAATTATAAATTACTGATGAAATAATTATAAATTATTTAACTAATGTAATATATATACTTAACAAGGCATTATTGTCTTTTTATTTAAATTTTAAATTACACTTAGGTCTTAAAGAATTTAGTTGTAGTTTCTGAATTTTGCGAAATTTATTTATAAATAAATCAACTTTATGAGATCTATATGTAATTTTTCCTTACAATAGATAAAATGAAAAAAATAATTTTTATAAGGGTTAACGTCATTTTGTATCTAAATTGTGCACGAAGGTCACAAATGTTATAAACTTAATTATAGGTTAATTATGTCCTTCAACTTTAAATATTTTTTTCATCATCACCCTGTCGTTTTTTATTATTAATTGACTGTTAGTGAACTTTACATTATATTTTTTTAATATTTTTTATTATAAAATATTTGAGTTGAGAGGTAAAAATACTCTTAACGTGATAAAATATTAAAAAATAGTAAGACTCATTGATGATTAATAAATATTAAGTATTTTTAATGTTAGAGTGATAATGGGGGAAAATTTTTAAAATTGAGAGAAAATTGATTGATTGAGTTTAAGAACATTTGTGGCCTTTCATATATAGTGTGGGGATAAAAATAACTCTTAACATTTTTTATAAATATTAAGTTTTTTATATTTTAAACTAAGATTGATTGAGAAAAACAGTTTGCACTTTAGATTGAAGGAAGCATCACTATCAACTTTGTTTAGAGGTTTTAGAGGGCATTTAATTGTCATTTTCATGTAATTGTATATTCAGTTAGTTATTAAAAACTGCTCCCTCTAATCCTTTTTTATAAATTATGATTAAAATTAGTTGCTCTCATTAAATAATAAAGGAAAAGGTAGCAAATTTAGTCACAAATTATTTTTTAAGAAGTATTTAATAGTCTAAATTATTAGATGATACAAAATAAATTACAAACTTTTAAAAAATGAAGCATCCAGTAGCCCATTGTTCACTTCAACTGACGATAGGCCTTATAACGACACATCGCATGACACTAGTACGACACGTCAGTATAGTAAAGGTGTAAATTTAATTAAAAATTATTTTTTTCAGGAGCACTAAATAGCCTATATTATATAAAAAAGAGACCATCCAACACATTTCCCTTAAATTGGACCAAACACCGTTTATTTTTATATTTATGAGGCCCATAAGACATTAATCTTTTCAATATTTTTACCTTTGTTTTTAATCTCAATTTAAGAAGCAGAAGTTGAAAAAGTTTTTCTCTGAAAACATTCACGAAGACGATATTAACAAAGTAGAAAAAATAATTCGTTACTAAATTAAACTAGAATCAAGCTTCTCCCATACTTATTAAAATCAAGCTTTTACTTTATTGGCGTCGTCTTTGTAAATGTTTTTAGATAAGAACTTAGTAAACATCTTTTTTTAGAGTTTATATTAAGAACGAAAGTAAGAAGATTAGAGATATTAATGTTTTGTGGGCCTCATAAGTATAAAAATAAATAGTGTTTGATTAAAATTGAGAGAAGGGTGTTAGATGGTCCATTTTTCCCACAGTAAAGGCCACTCAGTGCTTTTCAAAAAATAGTTAGCAGTTAAATTTGTATTTTTACCATGCTGACGTGTCGTGCCTATGTGTATCACGTGTCATTTTGAATCTCACATAATGTCCGTTAGTTAAATGTAATGGTGGGCTATTGATGCTCTATTTTTAAAAGATCATAATTTATTTTACACTATCTGATAGTTTAGGCTATTAGATACTCCTCAAAAAATAGTTTGTAGCTAAATTTAAAAAGAATGATTTTAAAAGTCATTGATTAACTTATTGAAGGAGTAAATTAATTAAAAGTGTTTTATAATATCAAACAAAATGAATATTATTAAGGATATCGGGAAAAATAATTAATTAATTCTTCTAGAAATATATAAAAGAGATAAAGAAAGCTTATAAAAAGGTTTGAAGAGAGTTAAAAAGATATGAATTTTGAAATTTGAATTCTTTTGTATATTATAAGTTCTTGATAGAATGATAGTAAAGCCTTTTAAAAAAATTAATCACAGTCAGGAAAATTTTTTTTAAAAAAAATAAGTATAAATATTGATTCAAATATGTTTAAAAAAACTATTTATAATTAAAATAATTTCAATTGCAAATTAATTGGTACATTATTTAGAATTGAAACACTTATTTATAATTAAAAATTTTGAATTTTTCATTATTTAAAATGACATTTATAATTTATTTTTTTAAAATTATTAAATATTTAATTGTTATTAATTTATTCTTTTAAGGCTTAATTGTCATTCTTCCTTTAATTTGATTTTGAGTCAAATACTAATTTACCTTAATTATAAATATATATCCTTTCTATTTATGCAATATATACAAATCTTCCATAACATGAATATTTACAAAACACAAATATTCTCTTTATTTTTAAAATTTTATTTTCATTTATTCACTTATTAGTTGATTATGAAGTCACACGTGTTAGACTTAAATATTCTTATTTAAATGTAAATATTATCTAAAAATTATTTAATTTACCCAAACAAAATGCATATTTTTTTATTTTTTATTTATATTTAAAAATTAAATATATCAATAGTCTAAAATAATATTCAAACAAAAGTTAAAATAATTTAATGAAATAAGGCTGATATAATAAATTACTTAATATAACTTTTATTTATTTATTTTAAAATCTCATTAATTTTAACTTAAATTTTTTTAATTATTTATTTAAATATAGAAATTTTTAACTACTTAAAATTTTTTAAATTGGGAGAGAGAATAGATTAATTAGATCATAACTCATAAGGGCATATTAATAATTTTAAAATTTTTAACATAATTATAAATAAATTTAGGTATTTTAAATTTTTTAATGAATTATTAACGGTCTTTGGAATTAGATTAAAATGTAAGTTTTAAAAATAGAAAGAGAATTTTTATAATTATAATAAAATAGAAAAGAAATCATTGTACTTCACTCTTTGATTTTTGACTCGATTGGCGAACCTGGTCAATCTAATAGTATCCAATAATGATAATTTGGACTGGATGAGGCTACATTTTAAATTTTTTATTTTGGGCTAGTTCATGTGGCTCCTTAAATTG